GCTCCACTTCTATCATTCTTGCTCCACTTCTATCATTCTTGCTCCACTTCTATCATTCTTGCTCCACTTCTATCATTCTCGCTCCACTTCTATCATTCTTGCTCCACTTCTATCATTCTTGCTCCACTTCTATCATTCTCGCTCCACTTCTATCATTCTCGCTCCACTTCTATCATTCTCGCTCCACTTCTATCATTCTTGCTCCACTTCTATCATTCTCGCTCCACTTCTATCATTCTCGCTCCACTTCTATCAATCTTGCTCCATTTCTATCATTCTTGCTCCACTTCTATCATTTTTGCTCCACTTCTATCATCGCAAGTATCCTCGATGTATCCTCCTGTTGGCCGCGATATCAACGGTCGATATCATTACGGATGTACGTACATAAACCGATCTGTTGAGAGGCGCTATATCGCTATCGACGATACCGGCTTGAAAAAATCGACCACATCTAGAAAATTCAATAATTTATTGTGAATCAGTTATTTATATATAAATAAATCAATTATTTACTGTGGTTTATTTTTGATTTTTAGAGTGACCTATTTTGTGAGTGTGAATGTCGGTATCGATTTTTCAGGTAATTTTTTGCTGTGTTGATTTATCGCTGGAGAATTGTTCCGTCCGTAAATTATCAGCAATGTTCAGTCATTTAAGGGTATTGTTGCATTTATACATGCGTGGTTCCGTCTATAGATTATCAGTGATGTTCAATCACTTATTGTTGCATTTATACATGCATTGTTTCCGTCTATAGATTATCAGCAATGTTCAAGTCATTTATTGTTGAATTTACACCTGCATTGTTTCATCTATAGATGGAACATATATATATACTGATGTTCATATCACTATTGCCACGCTGTTAGCGGGCGCTGCCGTCATCGCGGCCACAGCTGTTGCGTCTTCTTAACGGGATTCCCGCTAAGTAAACCTGGTGCCGTATGCTCATAAACACTTACGATGTCGTAGCTTCTGGAAACTGTTACACTCACCAACTGCATAACAAACTATATAGAGTGACGAATCCTGCTTAACATCTTGATTCCGATTGCTTCATCTTGTACTTTTCATTTTTTGAACTATTATGAAACAGACAATTGTCAGACGGTCTTTTTTTTCCGGACAAAATCCGCGATTTAGTTTTTTTTATTGCGCGTTAACGGCTAAAATTTATGATAAGGGTACTGCTTAAGAAAATTTTGAAAGCTGATAAAAAATAAGCGGAATTTTCCACCGTAACCTACAAATATACGGGACGACTGAAATAACCCAGCATTGCCCAATACCAGCATAATTTTCATACTTCACCCCGTGCGCAAGCATGCTGCAGAGCAAATTAGCCAACATGATTACTTGCTGAAAGCCACAGGGACTAAATCCCTTCATGGATGTAAACCAGCGAGCCAATGTAAGAAGTGATGGTATGGGCTTAAATCATTGGTGTAGGAGCTATAGGGCGTAATCCGTTTGTAGTATCAGTTTGTGGGATGAGGCATTGCTTGTTTCAAGCTGGTGTGGCGAAATGAGGCAAGTAAGAACAGCTGCATAGGTATTAGACTGACTATTTCTATTGCATGTAGAGGGTTGGCATTGGCTTTTGGGCTGATTTAAGAGTCAAATTTTTGGGCTACGGCAGCGCTCCCCAAATATACTAGTATATGTTGATTTTTATAGGCCTTTTTTGCCTTTTTTGTTCGCGTACTTTTCCGTTTTTTTGGCCATCTGGCAACCCTGAATCATGTATAATGTACCACTACGTCCAGGAGAAATACACTTCGTGGTACTCACATGTACCACTTCGGAGTCAACGTGTGTACCGGAGTCACGCATATGTACCACTTAAGGAAACTTCACGATGAATCTTACGTTCCAGATCTCCGGTGTCGAATAGAAAATGAATCTGAGCTAGCGAATCCTTGGGAAAGAATATTTGGTAACATAATCGCCGGATCGAATCTTGGATGAAGAAACATAAGTAAGGAGGTATATAAGTAATGAGGTAAAGCGAATCCGCCATATCTATAATCTTATTTCAAGAGACTTAGATAACGAACCTTCCGAATCGAACGAACCTTATAGGTAACGGACTTTCGAATCTTGGTATCGAACGAATTAATAACCGAACGAATCCCAAACGAATCTTGGGATGACAAATTCAGGGCAAAAAGTTTATAGTAACGAATTTTATTGAACGAATTTCGAATGCAAATTCTTCAAAAGTGATCTGATGAAAACGAGTGCCTCGATCTTAGCGTCTCTTGGATGTGTAATGTGAGGGTATGCGCCTCTTGGAGTTAAGGGAATTAAATTCTAAACAACCAGAATTTCGGGTTAAGGGTAATCTGATTAGTTAAGAGAATTACTTTATTAACCACGTTGCTATTTAACGATCACAGATGTCTAACTGATCGCAGTGTACAATGAAGAACCAATTTGTCATCAAGTTAGAAGCAGCATCAGTACAAACAAACAATCCTCGATAGTTCGGACGGTAAACGATGGTTAAGATTGAAAGTTAAAGAGCTTCCTGCATGATTGCTTGGTGAAGGTGAACAGTTTGTGTTGGTTTTACCCTTTCTCTGAGATATCTGCTGCTGAGAACTGCTTTTTGCTTGTGGCCTTGTCTGCAAAACAGACTGAACAGAGACGGCGATGCTGACAACAGCGTCAAGGCCTAACTGGCCTATTCGGCCTCGCTTTTTTAGCGCATTTTCTCATTTATGGAAAAAATGCGCTATTGTGCTCGTCATGTCCGTCCGTCTGTCGGTCTGTCCGTCCGTCTTTCCGTCTGCCCGTCTGCCCGTCCGTCGGTCCGTCTTTCCGTCTGTCTGTCCGTCTGTCCTCGTCTGTCTGTCTGTCTTTCCGTCTGTCTGTCCGTCCGTGGCTTCACGTTTTCGTCGACGAGAAAATGCGCTCTCTGTCACTCACTGCAGTGAGTACTGAGTTATATTTTTATATATTATATATTAATATATATTATTAATATATTAATTCATATATTAAATTCATCTCTATGGATAAATTCATAATCTATGGAGATCAGCAATAGCAACCAAATCTGGATAGGGGCAAATAGCAACCAAAAAAAATCTGGCAGATTTTTTTTCACAGATTTTTTTATGCACAGGCAAATTTTTAGAAATTTTTGAAAACATTTTGGCAAAAATGATCGGTTCCACAAAATATTTTCTTAAATTAAGGGAAAAAATATGCAGTCTCTCAACTGTAAAAAATAATATACGTTTAAAAATTACTTTTTAAAGACAACACTTCCAAAGAATCAAGTATCTCCAATCTTACAGATGTACAATGAATTTCTCATCTAATTTTCGAAAATTAAAAAAATTATATATATTTTATATATATTATATTTTTTATTATATATAAATAATTGCTATGTGCACTAAGGGAAATTAGTGAGATTTTGTTAAAATATCGATGCCTCTTCACCCCTTGCGGGTGTGTCAGGCTGACCATGTTATAAAAATTATGTATCACGGCTACGCTCGCTTCCTTCTCATGCTGTGGGCGAGAAAATTGTTTCGGTATTCGGACAATAACACCCATATATTTTCTGAGCGTGTACGAAGGTAAAAAAAATATAACTCAGTACTCACTGCAGTGAGAGACAGAGAGCGCATTTTCTCGTCGACGAAAACTTGAGGTCACGGACGGACAGACTGACAGACAGACAGACAGACGAACAGACAGACAGACCGACGGACAGACAGACGGACGGACAGAC